AGGAATGTCATTTCCCTAACCTCAGCTGCTCAAGTCTCTTTGCTTAGGATTAGGATGGGGCATGTGAGTCTTTAGAGGATATCCGGATGAGCAGGAAGGGAGCCGAAGTGCCCTGATTGTGGTTGCTGTTCCAGCCAGCCCGCAGCGAGGAAGGCGGAGGGATGCACCAGCAAGCTGCCTAAGTGTCCTGGCAGCCCTGGTCTGGCTCTGGTGCTTGCTTAGGCAGGGGCACGCTGCCTGAGCCATTCTCACTCTGTTCAATAGCACCTCTAAGATCCAGTAGTAACATAAAAAGTTTTGGATTAGCCCAGCATTTGTAACATTTTTCTTCTTTCTTCTGCTTAGGCTTATTATGCCCGTGACGCTCTGGCAAAGAATTTGTACAGTCGACTGTTTTCTTGGCTTGTTACCAGAATCAATGAGAGCATTAAGGTATTGTTGTTTTGTGCCTGTAAAAAAATCAATACAAATCCTTTAAATTAAAGTGGACGGTAAAACTGTATTTGATAATTCAATTTTTCATGGTTGTACAGTGTTACACATGGTACGGGTGAATAACTGTATCACAGCTCAAAAAATTGCTGTCTGCTCTGTTTTTAAGTTTATGAAAATAGTTGTGTTAAGTGTATTTTGGGAAACCATACTTAACAATTTGGTTTACAGGATTTGACAGCCTACTTTTGAGATACATTATTTTTCTTGATTTACAAGTATGAAATGCACAGATGACTGACTCAATGTTTACTTCTTTTTTTAAAGGCACAAACAAAAGTGAGAAAGAAGGTAATGGGGGTGCTGGACATCTATGGCTTTGAAATTTTTGAGGTAGGAGCTTTATAAAGGTAAACATTTAATGTGCGAGCTGTTATTAAACCTTAATAGAGTAGTTCATGAATGTGCAATCAGAACACACGTGATTTGAATCAAGCGTGTCATTTCTGACAAGAAAAACCACTAGAGAAGTAAGCCAAAAAGAGATGTGTTGGCATGTCTGACAAATGATACAAAAACTTATGAAAGCCCAACTTGTGTTTTTACGCCATAGGTAAATAAGTATTTATGATGGGTCAACTAAATATATTTTGTTGTGACATACATTCTGAGCATAAGAGAAACTCTGGCAGTGTCAGTTCTGCCCTCAGGAATTTTGTGGATGCCTTTGAACAAGCTTTGTATCCTTTAAGAAACACAACAAAAACGATGCATTTTTTTCCTGTTAAAATTAAACAAGGAATTATATTCGACTTCATCTCAGTTCACTTAGATAAATATTCTGTACCCATTCCTAGCTAAAGATCTGTGGCTCACTGCTGTTTGTTTAGGATAGTATTTTTAGACTGCTGATATTCTGAAACAAAAACAATAAATGAGGAATTTTTTAATTGGGTTAGAGAACACCAAGGAGAGGGAGTTTTCATAAATCTTACTCTGACAGTGTATTTTAAGAGATTTATAAATCTCAGTTGGAAACTGTATATCATGTTTAAACTAGAAACTCAACTGGGGAGAAAAATCAGTACAAAACTTACAATCCTTACCCACTTCCCTATATCATTCTTGAAAATCCAGGGAATGTGTTTACACTGTGTAGAAGATGGGAATGATCCAGACAAGAGCAATTATATATGGGAGGGTGTTGTAAGTTTTATTTCAGAAGTGTAACATCAAAGTATGTGCAAGTCAAAATACCCCTATGAAGAGGAAAAACAAAGCTGATGCTTGCTTCAAGGGTTTACTAAGCTAGGTTGTATTGTTTGATTAAATATAAGAACATATTTATGAACATACATTGTAAGCAGTCAGGTGGCCAGATCTCTCTGGAGCTGATCCTTGGCGTACCTTTAGAAAGCTGGACATGGGGATGGTACTGCTGGCTTCTTCAGGCAGGACTGTTGTTTTCACTAGCTCTTTCTTTGATAAAGGATAAACATGCAGGGTGAGGTGGGAGATAGAAGCTTGCACTAGCACACATTCCAACTGAGTAATTGTGTTTGTGGGATGGTGTTGCAGAAATGATGTAATTTTCTTTTTTCTTTTGTAGAAGCCCAACATCTTAGAAGGTCATAAATTAAGTAGTTGAGTACAGGAGAAGTAGTTTTGCAGAAGAAAAATGAAAAAACAAGGCTCTTTTCACTTACCTTACATACTGAATTACAGTGTAGCTTTCCTGATTCAAGTAAACTGAAAAGCTTTAAAATACGAGCAGTTATTGTTCAGCCCTTTAAAAGTTGAGTATTGTTTCTATTTGAAAAAGTGGGAAAGGTTTGCCTTAAGAGGATCAAATTCATCAATACATTCACACAAGACAGGCCTGTTTTCCTCATGAGTTAAGACCTGTGGTGAGAGCACTAGCCAAGCAGCTTGGTTCAGCATCACAGAAATAAATAGAATTAAACATTCAAAATGGGATTCAGGTAGTATGCCAGAAACATACACGGCTTTTATTATACCATATTTTAATTTTGAGATGTTTGAAAAAGAAACTAGATTGGTTTAGGTTTCTAGAGGTAGCTAGTACAGGCATTGGGACTGTGTGGCGGTACTGTAATTCACAGTGTGAGTGGTAGGAAAAAAAATCCATTGGAAAATCCTGGATCAGCTGTATTTCCAGTACTGCCCACTTAGGCATCCCTGTGTTTCCAGACAGGTTAATTTTATAATCAGAAACTGTTGACTTATTCTCAATTAAATCAAAAGAAAGATAATCTTCCAAGGCAAAAGAAAATCTATTTTCTATACAGCTCTAGCTGGAACAAAAGATGATTTTATGTCACAATCCTTAAATTAAGTAAAATAATTCTGTAACGAACATTGTATAGACAAAGTGTAACTGGTCTTGTCGTCTCTTGAATGAATATCTCATAGTAAGGTCAGTTAAGAGGATGCCTGCCAAGTATTTTTATGTTGACTTTCGTAACAAATGATTGAATCTTACAAAAATTATTAAGGATCTTGAGAAAATGCCTACAAAAAGCAATTATTGCTGAGAATTTCAGTAACCACAGAATATACTTTGTTTAAAATTAATTATATTAAACCAATTGATAAATGAATGAAATGTTAACAGTGTACAATATGGTAATTCAAGGAAAATTTAATAATGTCTTAAGATTTATAGCATTAAAATATAGTCGAATATGGAGTATGTGGTACATTTGTAAACACAATGGCTAAACATTCAAAATATTAGCTGAGATGTAGCTCATGGCAGTAATTATATCTATCTAACTATAAATTACTTAAAACCACTGACTAAAAATGTGCAGTTCCCTTTTGAACGTAATCCTTAAGTCAGATTTTGATTTTCATATCTATTCTTGAAGGTTAGAATTAAAATGATCTCTACAAAGAATGTTTTTTGGCAAAAATGTATTTGAAAGACTTCTTTATCTGTGAACTTGTGCATTTTTGAACTTGTAAGCTATGTGATGTGCTGAAGGTGAAACGGCCTACTTTAATCATGTTTCTACTCAGAAGGCAGATAGGTTTATCTTGCATGTGCATGTTCACACATGCATCTTGCACACCTTGCAAGTGCCTGTTCTTTGACCTAAATTCTCCTTGTACCTTGGAGACAGAACATATCAGAAAACATGGAAGGTGTAGGAGGAGTTTTTTATACACGTGCTAAATGTTTACACATGAAGCTTAATACCGTTTAAATACGTAGCAAGATACGTGTTTACTGAAGGGGGGTTGGCCTTGGGGTTTTTTCCCTTTAATATTACACTTACCCCTCAGGATCGCTGAAAGAATAAACTAATGATATCCTAGTTTACCTGTTTTGTCCTGAGGTTCTCACTTAAAAGTTAGTGGAATACATCATGGACTAGTCTGCTTCCACTGCAAAAACATTAGTGTGCTACAGATTTTTGATGATTTGGTTTTGTTTCATAATGGGCAAGGTAGACAGTATTTCTTGGGCCTCGTTCCTCTTTGAGATGATTCCTGAGATCATCCTACAATTCCTCCTGTAAGAAGAGTAAAGAAACCCAGATGTACCATTCTGAAAGATCCTACACTACACTTTCTGATGACAATAGCAGTCTTACTCTGTTATATACAAATTGAAGCTTCTATGAATGAGTTTTTTCATCTATTGTTGAAAGACTACTTACCGTCCACTGCAATTTCTACAATTTTCTGTAATTTAAGATGAAGTTAACTTACAAAGTAACTGGAGGTTTCTTGAAACTTAACAAAGGAAAGATACTGTGGTGCTGATAATGCTGGCTATACTCTGGGATTTGGTTTCCGCTAGTATTTTTATCAAGCACAAAACCCATTTTTCAGACAAACTCAAAAGCTATGCAAGAAAGCAGATTTAAGGACTTGGCTGTCCAAAAATTCAGATTAGGGAATTGAAATCTATTGATAATCCTCAGCCTCTGTGGGTTTGGCAGATGTCAACAGCAAGCTTGGCTAAACAATCCACAAAATAGGTGCTGTAAAGCCGTGTTTATTTTCAAATCCTGCCATGCCCTTTGCGGTAAGCCGTATGCTGGGACTGAATGTTTTGAAAGCGAAATGCTGAGATTTTGGGTATCTCTGTGTGAATTGCCTATGGGCAAGGATTTAGGGACTCGGATTAGTGTGAAAATGCAGGCTACGGGACTGGGTTGGTTGTGTCACGCTGCTTGAGCAATGGGTTGAAGCCTCACACTAATTGCTCCCAGTATGTTTATCTACATTTTTGAGCGGCTGTACGCGTAGTCAGTCTGCAGTCTAGACTGTGATTTGAGATGGAGCAGGGATGATAGTTGGTGGCACTGGGAAATTCAGAACCAGCTTGATTGCAGACTTCCTGGGGTAGGTTTAGGGCTGGTCCCGTTTGATTCCATGTTTGATTCTGTATTTTTGGGCAGAAGTGGTTTCTGCATCTCTGCAAAATATCAGGGTAGGGTTGTGGAAGGGGTGGGGTTTATGGAACATAAATGAAGGCTGTAGAAGGCAGATGACTGAGGGCATGGCAGGTTTCAGCAGAGACGGGCAGAAGACTCTTTCTGTTCAGTTTGAACATTTAATTTTCTGTCATATACATTGCCTTTGTAGATGAGGGCTAGGGTATGTAAAAATGAATGTCACTTAGCAAGTGTGAATGCTTCATCCTGCCTAACCTTCAGAGATTAAAATACCTGTCTGTGCTAGCTGGCTTAAAGGCTTTATTCTGATTTTTCAGGAGCCACTATGTAGCTAGTCCATACAGCGAAGCTAATGATTTGGAGTGCAGTTTTATGGAAGTTAAGGCTGCCAAACAAGGCTTACTCTTGAAATTTGCCAGGCCCCAAGAAGACAGTTTGAGAGTGTGAATGCTTTCTGCTCAATCCCTTGGCAGAGCAGTTTGTTCCATGTATTTTAGCCTGGTGAGAAGCGGGGATGTCATGCGCCTGATGATGCGCCGGGGATAGACCTGCAAAAGTAAGAGCTGCAGAAAGAGAGGGACTGTTTGGCCCTCAGACATCTCCTGAGCGTTGACCTGAGGTGATGTAAAGGCCTTGCCTTTGGGGACAGCATCTGACCAACTCCTTTTGCTCCAGGTACACAAGAATGTGCAAAGATATGGCAGCATCCATGACACTCCACATAAAGCCGGGCAGTAAATAAAGATACCACCACCAACAAAGAGCCAAACAAGCCACCCAGCAGTAAAACCAGGTCCATTTCTCTCAGTCTCTGATGCACTTTGATAGTGCTACTATTTATTTACAGGAATTAGCTTGTTTCTTGTGTGTTAGAAGTCCCTTGTGGTGATGGAAGGAACCTTGGTCATATTACATGTATTATGTAAACTGTAATTTGGACATTGATAAGATGTCAATATCTTT